CTGATTTTTTGATTTATTGTAGAGATGAGGTCTCGCTGCCCGTGCGGGTCTCGAACCCGCAGGCTCAGGCAATCCACTCACCTCAGCCTCCCAAAGGCGCGGGATTACAGGCTAAGCCACCAAGCCCGGCTCCTTTTGCCTATTTCTTTTCTTCTCCTTTTTTCTTTTTTCTTGAGACAGGGTCTCGCTGCATTGTCCAGGCCTCTTTCAAACTCCTGGCCTCTGGCCTTCAGGGATCCTCGCCTCAGCCTCCCAAAGTGCTGGGATTACAGGCGTGTCAGCGCACCAGGCCTCGCCTATTTTTCCTTTGTTACCTATTTCCTCCTATTAAATGCAAATTCCAGAAGAGACAGAGTATGTCTCGTTCACCGTTTCTCTTAACACATGGAACACATTAGCACTCAATATGTCTCTTTAATTGGACTTATTCACTCTATTAGAAAGCGTTATACTCATAGAAAAAGCAGTAATGCTTCCGTAAAATTCCAATCCGAGCTCGAAGATGCTACCCTGAAAGTGCAACTTCCTTCCCGAGAGCCTGAGGATGGCAGGGTGACGCAGATGCCATCAAGATACGAAGTCAGAACCAGGACGCCAAGGACGAGAAGATATCTCTTTCCTACTACTTTCTCTGGTTTCCCTAAGAGTTTACGAATATTTCTCCTTTTTTGCTTCAAGAAAAAATAAACTAACAAGGAGAGAGGAATAATATAAAAGATAAAAAAACGATTTTTTGGGAAAGGAATGGAAAAGCCTATCCACACAATGACTTCAAGTGGCTCCAAGACCTGTCAACGGAAGAGGAAACTCTTGCCCTCTAACTCCACCCTTGCGGCTTCTGCACAAACGCGTCGCCCGCCTTGCGCACAGCCCCCTTCCCACAATACTCTTCGTTTAAGGGCTAGAGCCCGGGGGCCTATTGGCTGAAGGTGCATCCAATGAGAGGGCCTGTTACTAGCCTGCCCCGCGCCGTGCTGTAAAGGGTCCGCTTTAGGCCTGGAAGTCCTACGCGTCCGGTTGGATTTGGCAGGATGAGCTCCATCGGCACCGGGGTGAGTGTGTTAGCCCTCGACCTGGTGCTCTGACCTTAGGATTGGCGTGGAAGGGGACTCGGGCGTAGCGCCGGGCTCGCTGACCCTAGGCGCGCCGGGACCGCCCGCGGCCAGGTGGGCCGCTTCCAGTCGCCTGGAGAGCGGTGGTCTTTTCTCTCCTGTGTTCTAGGCCGTCTCAGGTGACGGGGACGCCTGAAGACTTCCAGCCCGGGGGAGCCGGCTTGGCGGCCGGGCAGTGAGGTTGGAGCAACTTGGGATTGCTGAGTCACCTGCTTCAACCGCTGAGGGAAAACGAAAGTGCAAACTCGTGAGGCCCGAGAGAGTGTGAGAAGGGTCAGGGCAGCGATTTGCCTCCTGAGAGCCACGGCGGCGGCGCGGCTGGGATCCGCTGCCGGGCGCGGGCTCTCGGCGGCCGCCTTGGCAGCTCCTCGGGAGGGGTGCTGATTCACCGGCCTTCTCTCTTTCCTTCGGGTGTACTGGTCGACCGCCAGTGTAGGCGTCACGGGGAACCCTGTCGGACAGGACTCATAAGAAAAGTGTTCTGATGAATTATTTCCGTTTTTTCTTTTGTCTCAGCTTTTCCTACGCAGATTGCTTAACAGCACTTTTAGGCATTCATACCGTGAACATTTAAATGATTATCCAGGGACTTAACCGCAGACTTCTTTTCTCTCTTTTTTTTTTTTTTGAGTTGGAGTCTCACTCTGTCGCCCAAACTGGAGTACAGTGGCCGCTCCCGGCCACCGCAGCCTCAACCTGCTGGGCTCCGGCGATCCTTCCGCCTCAGCCTTCCAAGTAGCTGGAACTACAGGCGCGCGCTACCACGCCCAGCTAATTTTTGTGATTTACTGTAAAGATGAAGTCTCGCTGCCCAACGGGTCTCGAACCCGCGGTCTCAGGCAATCCACTCACCTCAGCCTTCCAAAGGCGCGGGATCACAGGCTGAGCCCCCGAGCCCGGCAGACTTCTAATAGATTGTTGAGGGTTTCGGAATTGGACTTGTTATCTCCTGTGGCTTGCCACTTCCCTGTGTTCATGTATTGCGTACGTGCAGACTTTTGCTTACTCCGTTTATATGCTTCTTCATATAGAAAATCCAGTTTTAGTTTTTTATTTTATTTTTATTTATTTTATTTTATTTTATTTTTTTGAGTTGGAATGTCACTCCTTCGCCTAGCTGGGCTCCGGCAATCCTTCCGCCTCAGCTTTCCAAGTAGCCGGAACTATAGGTGCGTACTACCACGCACGACTAATTTTTTTGATTTATTGTAGAGAGGAGGTCTCGCCAAGTTGCCCGGGCGAGTCTTGAACCGGCGGGCTCAGCCAATCCACTTGCCTTGGCCTCCCAAAGTACTGGGATTACAGGCTGAGCCACTGAGCCCAGCCGAAAGTACAGTTTTTAAAAGAAATATCTATTGATTATTTGCAGTAAATTTTTGATTAGTGGGTTTGTCAGTTTATCAATTCTTATTTGTTCACAAGATTTTGCTACTCAGCATTAAGTCCACATGCTGGTGTTCTGAATTTGATAATGGGCAACTTAATGTGTTTTTTGTTTGTTTGTTTTGTTTGTTTGAGTCGGAGTCTCACTCTGTCGCTCAGGCTGGAGAGCCTTGGCACTCTCACCGCCACCCCAGCGTCGACCTCCTGGGCTCCGGCTATCCTTCCAAGTAGCCGGAACTACAGGCAGGCGCTGCCAATCCCCCGCTAATTTTTGATTTATTGTAGAGATGAGGTTTTGCCAAGTTGCCCAGACTGGTCTGGAACCCCTGCTGAGCTCAGGCAATCCTTTGGCCTCGGGCTATCAAAGTGGTGGGATTACAGACTTGAGCCACCGTTCCGGCTGTGATTCATTTTTAATGCCGTTTTAGTTTTACTCCCAGAGCCAGTCCATTAGCAGGTTTTTGTTGTTGTTGTTGTTGTTTGTTTTGAGTTGGAGTCTCACTCTGTCACCCAGGCTGGAGTGCAGTGGCACACTCACAGCCACCCCAGCGTGGACCTGCCCGGCTCTGGCGATCATTCCGCCTCAGTCTTCCAAGTAGCCAGAACTACAGGTGCGTGCTACCATGCCCAGCTAAAGCAGGTTTTTGTTTGTTTGTTTTAAAACTCTACCCCCAAAAGATATTTTTTTGTCTGTTCTCCAATCGAAGCCACCACCATCTTTGGAATACCTGGTCTTCCACTCTTGTTTCCTCTACTGTTCATTTTCCACATGAAGCCAGAATGATTTTTTAAAAACAGATCATACCACCCCCTCTTAAACTCCTCGATGCATTCAGAATTAAATATAAACTCCATACTCCAGCTTAGAGGATCCAACATAACTTGGCCCTTAGCTACCTTCCTCACATAGTCTACTCATTTCTGTATTGCTCACAGTGACCCCAACACAGTGACCTTATTTCTCTTCCTTGACTGTGCTGGGCTTATTTCTATCCCAAGGTCTTTGTGCCAAACGCCAGAAAGACTCTTCCTCTGTATTCTAAATGGCTAGCTTCAAGTCATTTAGGCTTAACTTAGCGTGAATATTACTGCCCCTGCAAGGTCTTTCCTAATGGTAAAGCCTGTAGTAGTCCCTTCTATCACTTCACTATTTTACCTTCATCTTAGTGCCTTTTCTGTTTACTGCTGTATCTCTAGCACCTAGATGAAAATGAAGGACTAGCCGGGCTCGGTGGCTCAGCCTGTAATCCCACGCCTTTGGGAGGCTGAGATGAGTGGATTGCCTGAGCCTGGGGGTTCGACACCCGCCTGGGTAACTTGGCGAGACCTCATCTCTACAATAAACCAAAAAATTAGCCAGGCGTGGTAGCGCGCGCCTGTAGTTCCAGCTACTTGGAAGGCTGAGGCGGAAGGATCGCTGGAGCCCAGCAGGTCGAGGCTGCGGTGGCTGGGAGGGTGCCACTGCACTCCAGTCTGGGTGACAGAGTGAGACTCCAACTCAAAAAAAAAAAAAAGAAAATGAAGGACTTCATGAATTAGTGGTCATGTTTGTATTGTGACAACATATAATAGATGCTCATTAAATGTTTGATGAATGCTGAATGATTTGTTCAAGGACCTTAAGCTTGTTAGTGGCTACAACTATAAATTTAAGTGTTCTGATTCTGATGCTGGTTCTACTGTAGGTGCTGTTTCTACTCTATGGTATTAAGATTTTTCAAAAATAAGTTTTGTGGTCTATGTGAAAGTGTTCTGACTTTACCTAGGACTTGTATCCACTTTTCCTTAGCCACTGTTGCTGCTCTGACATACTTCCTCTTCCTCCCTTCAAAGCAGAGTCTTTGTTGAAATAGAACACATGCCTGATGTTTAAGCCTTTTAAGGGGGGGGGGAGTATGGCTATTACTGCCAAAGACACATTATTATAAGCTTATTGTTGCCTATTTCACCCTAGTATGACCTGTCAGCCTCTACATTCTCTCCTGATGGAAGGGTTTTTCAAGTTGAATATGCTATGAAGGCTGTGGAAAATAGTAGGTAAGAAACATTGTTTTACTTGAAATAATTGTTTTAACCAGATATTAAATGTCTCTTTTTAAAATATATATATTTGGTGATTAGGATTTCGTATGTTACTTTGGTGTAGATTAGTATATGTCCCCAAATACGCTCAGTGTATTCAATTCCACATCTGTTTTTAGGTCTGATTTTTTTTTTTTTTTTTTTTTTTTTGAGTTGGAGTCTCACTCTGTCGCCCAGACTGGAGTGCAGTGGCCATTCCCAGCCACCGCAGCCTCGCCTGCTGGGCTCCGGTGATCCTTCCGCCTTAGCCTTCTGAGTAGCCGGAATTACAGGCATGCGCCACCACGCCTGGCTGATTTTTTTTTGATTTATTGTAA